AATAAAATCAGTTGATTTGTGTTAAAATCTCTTATCAAATCATGAAAATAAGTCTACTTTCACATCATGATCGCACTAAATGGAGGTCCTTTAACGTGTGTTTTCGTGTGTATAAGAAAGGTGTAGACATTAATTGAAATAAATTATTTCGATACTTTTGTAAAAATGATTGTGAATTTGGCACAAGTTTGCTACAGAAATATTTATCTATCATGTTCATTTTTATTTATTCTATGCTTGCATATAGATATAATAGGATTTTGGATAGGCAAAGCGTTTGCTTTGGTGCCAAAACGTGATTTCGGTTTATCATTATAGTATATACATATACTTCTGTAAAGATTGCAATTACCAACGTTTTATTACCATCTATCTCGAAATAGAATCTTGATATGATTGTCAATAAGGAAATCAGTGAAAGATCTACTCACTACTTAATATAGAAAAAAATACATTCATTCCAATAGGTTTTAAGTTATAACAAAACATAAACAACAATAAAAAAGTTTATATAAATTTAATTAATTTAATTACAATGTTTCTAGAGTTTATTTTATCATAAATTGTTTCATTGAAATAGATATCAGATGAAACTTGAAGAGATACAAATAAAAATTAAGGTAATGTGAGGAAGGGACATAAAATAAATTCGATATTGAAATGTCCATATGTGGTTCCGGAAGATTTTGTCACTAAAAATTAATATCTGAACTTTTTTTGACCTTTTAATGTCGATTAAAGCCAGAATGAAGTTGTTTTTTGAATCATGTTTTATATTTTTCGAACTTATACTTACTGTTTACCGGTATTATTTAAAGCAAAGTTAAACAAAACACTCTAAATAAAGGTTAACCTTCTATACTAATTGGCAACATACAATAAAGTTTCATCAAATATTCATGTTCTGTAAATATATCCACGCTAAAACTAACTATATTTTTGTTCTATTCTTATCCCAATTTGAATGAAAAGCGTTGCAACGCTATTCAGCTTGTGGTAAATTTCACAAACATAGACTTAACATTCTGGAAAAAAAGGAGCGAGCGAGTGATCTGAAATTTTGGACCTTCATCAAGTAACAATCTCAAAACTTTACTTCCAGCCCCTTCATGTAAAAAAATCACTCGGTGGTGTCCTTTAAACCTCGACAATTAAATGCTTTGGTATGAATCTTAATATCCATTAAAAACAACTTTAGTTTAATTTTTGGAAAGAAAAAACAACATCTTTCAATTTCAATTTAGTGACCTGAAACTAAATTACTTCCTTAAATTTCATGTTTGTTTTATATTCATATTTGAGACTTGAAATTTGTTTGCAAGTTTGATGAAGATCTGTCTTTGAAATAATAGCTAACAGCAATTAAAGTAAAGGAGCATGATACAAACGAGAATAGCTAAACTTCTTCAAATGTTATACTTTACGACATTATACATAACGTTACCATGGGCACGATTAAACGGACGGCGTTTTATGGCAGTTTATCACCATTTAAGTACTCGTACTGATGTCAATATCTTGTTTATAATTTTTCTTGAAACATTTTTTGCAAAGCACAAAAAATAGGGATATTATTTCGTAATGTGACCTGAAACAGAAAGATATCTTAAATACAAAAAACTTGAATAAAAGTTTTGTGAATTTCATTTTTTTCATATTGTTTTAACCTTTATAAAGTTACGAATAGCGATGATATTGATATTTTATGATATATCTTATCCAACAATCTGTAAAAAAGTTATACATTGGGTATTGTTGATTAGATTACGTTGTGACATCAATTTTTCTTTCGGAAAAAAATGTAATTAGCAAAATTCTTAAATGATATGACAATATGAGATACGAGGATGAGATACCCATCAATGAACTTTAGTCACCCATAAAAAAGATCCACAAAAATAGTATTTTCTGGGTGCTTGACTTCATTCATAAAACTTATGGACTTCAATTTGCCAGAAGTATATATATCGGAAGATGGTATAAAGAAACTGTTAAAAGGCCTAAACCCAAATAAAGCTTCTGGCCTGACCAATTTTTTTTAATATCTCCTAGGTTACTTAAAGAGCTTCAACAAGAGGTTACTCCCATACTGACCCACATCTTCTAGATCTCACTTAAAACAGGTATTGTCCCAGAAGACTGGAAGCATGCAATAATTGCCCTAAGTTACAAAAAACGGCCTAAAATGCAAACCCAGCAATTATAGACCAACCTCCCTCACATGTATAGCGTCCAAATTGATGGAGCACATCTTGGTTTCCAACATTATGTCCTTTAATGATAAGCACAACTTCCTTAGCCCCTATCAACATGGCTGTTGTCAAAATGGAATTGTGAGTCCTAGCAAGTAAGCTTTTCCCAGGAAATACATGACAATCATGAAAGTGGCCAACAAACTGATATCATAGTCATAGATTTCAGTAAGGCATTTGATAAGGTGGACCATCACAAACTTGTCAGTAAATTGGAAAGATTGGGTTTAAGTCATGCGGTTACAAATTGGGTCCATTCTTCCTTAAGTCACGCTCCCAGCAAGTTGTAGTTGAAGGTCAAAATCAAGAATTCTATAACTCCTCTCAGGTGTCCCCTTTCTTACATAAACGACCTCCAGGATAGTGTCAACGGTAAGGTTAGACTCTTTTCAGATGATACTGTTGTCTACCTAACCATCAGATCTTAACAAGATGCCCAAAACCCTCCAAGATGACCTTCATGCTCTAGAAACATGGGACAAAGAGTGGTCCATGGAGTTCAGCCCTGATAAATGTGAAGTTCTCACGATAACAAGAAAAAGAAACCCTGTAATATTTCCTTATACCCTCCATAACATCCAACTAAACTCAAACCAAGAAGCAAAATAATTAGGAGTCACTATTAGTCAAGACCTTTTATGGACCAAACACATCTAAAGCAAATAACTCCCGTAGATTCATTAGAAGAAATGTTAAAACCCCAAATAAGAAGATAAATGAAACTGCATATAAGACCTATGTTAGAACTCAGATTGAATATTGCTCCTGAGTTTGGCATCCTTGGCAGAAATACTTGATTTATAAGAAATAGCAAGTCCGAAGATCAGCTGCTAGATATATTATCTATGACTATGATTATACAAGTAGTGTCTCAAAAATGATAAATGATCTAAATGGCAAAACCTTGAACAGCGTCGAAACATCAGTGCTGTAACCTACTTGTATAAAATCCTAAACAGCTTTGTTTTTTCGACCATCAAACATGAAATCTTAAACTACCCTACTCGAGGATACAATATCAGCAAAATTCTTTCTTTCCTAGGAGCATAGGTCTTTGGAATAGCCTTCCTATAACTGTTTAGTCTAGTCCCAATTTATACATCTTTACTGAGAGACTAAACCCATTCTATAAATTCTAATTCGCACACTATGTCTTAAGTCTTGTAGAACTTTTATTCTTTTAACTTTTTAGATTTGCCTATAAATAATTTCTTTATTAACAGTTCCCTGACAAAGCACCTGCTAGTCATAATCAGAATTGATTGTTGTAGATGAAGATATCTCTATTAAAATTCCTATGATTTTTCCCAAGGACAACTGGTAAACAACTCCTACTACAAACTATGGAATTAAATTGTTTCCAATTATTCCAAGATATGTTTCAAGACGACATAGCTTTTCAATTGTTGTAGATTATACGAGTACGTAAGAAAAGCTAAAATCTTGCTATATCAGCAAAGAATTTCAATATACAATTACATGTTCTGGAAAAGATACAAAAAAGGATATAAGAGAACTTAATGACCTCAAATAACATTCATAATAATAAAGTAATTTAAGACGTGGAGATAAAGAAATTGTTTTCCGAGAATTACCTGACTTAAAAGACATAAAATGACTGATAAATAAAAGACTTAAGCATTGCCTAAGAGAAAATGCTGAAGTATTTTGCTTCACTTTTATTACAACTTTTTACATTTTGGCATTATTTCTTTCAATTAAGCGTTTTGTAATATAATCCACACTTAATCAATATTTATCTTAATTGAAACGAAAAGTTCATTTCTATTGATTGGTATTGTTTAAAGATATACTTTGCACCTGTAACACCGCACTTTGGGGTCCAACGCTCTTAGGTGTCCGACCTAAAAGTGCGTTACGCACTTAGGGTCCAATTTTGACCCCAAAGTGCGTTAATATGTAGCATATTAACTCACTTTGGGGTCCATTTCTAGATTTTGACCTTTAAGAGCGTTGGGCCCCAAAGTGCGAAGCGGAGTGTAACGCACTTTGGGGTTGGACCCCAAAGTGCGTTTCCCAAAGTGCGGTGTTACAATGCCCTCTGGTGGTGACAAAAAAATATTGCAGAAATAAATTGAAATGTAAAAACTGTCAAAGATATTTTTTCTAATTTGAAAAAGACAACGCACAAGCTATGTTGTGGAAGCTGTATTCCATATTTTACTGGTCAAGTTAATTTTTACCGTTCTTATTTATTTTTTTAAAAGAAAACTGCTAGTTTCTTAAATGACACTATGTTTTCATATTGTCTTCAACTATAATGCAAACCGCTTAAAACAAAACATATATACTTAAAGACTGTTCTTTTTATATTTTGAAAGAGACTTTATAGTTATTAACTGTATTTCAACATAAAAAATTAAGCGTAATATATCTTTAAAGAATACCAGTATATTTCTAAAACCATGTTGTGGTTGCGATGTGACTTCAGCAAGCTTTGCTATAGAAAATATAATAAATCATTATTTATTTTGAGAGTAAGGTGTTGACTTTCCAACTGAGTCTTCATGATTTTTCAAATATAGGCATAAACATGTATAACACCGTTGATTACTTTTTTCTCACCTTGTCCCAGTTTATAATGTTACATCCAATTTCATAAACAAATTGACGTCTCAATAAACGCAGAGTGGCACGAGCGAATTGCCTGATAATATGTTACTGATTGCCTTCCATAGATGATGACGTGACAAAATGATATAAATAGACGAAAGAACGCGCTTCTTCTGCAGTAATAGTCATTTACAATATACGAAAAGGAGAGAGACATTTGAAATATCACAGGTAAGGTTTTAATATCATCATTGTCATATTTTATATTGCTTTATTCAATTATTCTTTATGAAATATATTGAATCAGCTTTAAAGTTGATGGCGTTATTAAATAGTAGGACTTAATCAATGCTTTCATTGCTTCTTTGAAATACAAACATTTCATTTTTAATCATTTCTTTTGAAAAGATTTTATTACAAAAATTTAATCCTGATAAACAAATTCATTACCAAATGAGATATATTTCTACTTTTTTACAAATACTTCTTGTATGAAGAGTATAAAGCTACTTATTTGCTGTCTGTGGATTGAAGAATTGTTTGTTCGTTTGTTTGTTCGTTCGTTCGTTCATTCGTTTGTTTATAAGATGAAAGTGATGATTACAGAATTCAAAACTAAGAGAAATGCGTAAATTACATTATATTGAAAGCAAGTAGGGCATCGCAAAATCTTTAAAAAAGTAGCAGCGGAATACTACATATCGGAACATGTTTTTATGTTAAGGTACATTTTTCATGTCACAAATGCTTTGTTACAAATGTTTAACAAAATCTGCTTTTGTTTTTTATAAAATATTTCAGCATAACATGCTTTAAGTAAGAAAATAAATTGTACATGAGAATTGCAAAGTAATAATATCAATTATAATCTTTTCTATAAAACAGAATGGCATTATCAAATAATTATTTATCATGGTGGTACATTGTATATTAAATATCACGTAAGTTTTGTCAGGAATGGTGGCGTGGGGGTTGGGGTAGCTCAGCGAAATTGAAATATATAAATGAGAGATTAAACAAGAGCATCTTTAAAAAAAAGAATTTCGGCCGAACTAAAACTGGTTTGTTTGCATGTCGTATCTTCGGAAACATGACAATAGAAACAAAAGGGCCTAGAATTGAATTTTACGTTTAAATTTTTGAAATATTGAAATTATATGCAATGTTGGTACAAACAAAGTATTTTAAAAAGAAACAAAATGTAAAGTCTTTAGAAAATCATTTAAAAGTTAAGGAGAATTAGATAAGAAATTCCAACAAAACGATTTATTTCGTACTCAATTTCATTTTCTTACCGTCATGTTTTATTTTTATTATTGTGAATGTAGTTTTATCTCAAAGAAAAATATTTAAGTTACTAAAGTTAGATCAAATCGAAATTTCAAAAAAAAAAAAGTTTCAATATGACAACATTTTGTTTATAAGAAATACCCGCATCAGCAGATTTGCAACCTCTTTGGAAATAACGAAACCTAAAATCCGAGAAAAAAAGAACCGAAAGTTAGAAATACTTTGATAAACATTAAACCATTCAATCTTTAACAATTATATAAATACTTCAGTAAAATGTAAGATACATGAAAATTATCAACTTAGTATTCATTTCACATAAATAAATAATTGATAAAACAGGTTCATTTACTTGTGTGCTTTTCGCTCTTTTCTTACGCATGAGTAAATGGGATCGTGGACGTGGTTGTAAGTGGTGGTTTGACAAAATCTAATACCCCGGTCACATATTCACGGAATACGCCCACGGAAGAGCCACGGATTAATTCCGGCATCGTCCGTAGCTACCCGTACTGGTCAGTAGCTCTCCGTATTGTAACCGTAATCAATCGTAGTAGTCCTTGTATATCCGTAGCGATCCTTGACAATTTTTGAACATGCACAAAAATTCGCTACGGAAAAATCAACCGTAGCGTATCCCTACTAGTCCGTATTAATCCGTACTGATACGTACTGGTCCGTACGAAAACCGTACTAGTCCTTACTGATTCGTAGTCCACCAACTTGTCAAGGATTTCCACGGTTTGTACGGAGAACTACGTATTTGTACGGTTACCCTACGTATAAGCTACGGTTTTAATACGGATTAATACGGCATTGTCACGGTAAGCCACGATCGTAATACGTTGTACTACGGAGAGGCAAGGATTAGCACGGTCTTATACGGCTTATTGCGTTGCAACACGAAACGGTACGGAATGGTACGGTCCACCACTGTTTAGTACGGATGAATTAAGTATCGTGTACTTTTTCAAGGGTATAAATACTACCTTCTTGTTAAAAACAGACATATTTGCGGAAACATGATAATTGCCATTTACTGTCTGCAGAGACTGTCTGCAACTTTATAATATTGAAATGGCTCAGAATGCGGAGGCAGTGGTCGAGCTGCTTGATGACATACATAGAAGTAAATTTATATTAATATTGTACTACAATTCATAAGTAATAGAATAACATTTAATGTTACATATTTTACAAACATTGGATCGTGAAATTGGAGTAAATATGTACATAAAACGAAGTGTCTCATAAGCCTCGGAGGCTGGCCCTTGAGTGATAATAAGATTAATTAACAAGCTTTTTACATATTTTTAAAACTTTAACATCACGATAATTAATGTAATTGTAAGATGAACAGCAAATCTTTAAATTAAAAGAGAAGCAGTATTGATCAACATTTTTCATTAATGGTTACTAGTCCATATCTAATCAGGTAAGAGAAGACAGACGAGATGGTGGACTAGAGATGGGCTTTTACGAAGACCGCTTCATGTTTAGTATGAGGCTCTCATGGTCGAACTTGTTGAGGATCCAGCGTCCTTCAAGAAATTCACTTTAATCGCACCTGATGTGACTCGGGGGTCGGACGCGATTAGGCCAAGTCCTCTCCGCCAAAATCATTAAACTCTGCAATTCGTTTTCTAGGTTTTCTTTTCTTTTGAGGCATTTGAAAATGAGCAAGCAAGAGGTTGTGGACGGATGTATTAGGTCCGTATAGATCCGTGGCAATTCGTTCTTCTCCGTATCAATACGTTCTTCTCCGTACAAGACCGTACTTATTCGTACTAACCCGTGCTTATACCGTAGCAGACCGTTGTGTATCCGTCCTAATTCGTGTCGCTCCGTATCAAACCGTGTCGGTCCGTAACAATTCGTGTCTCTCCGGGGACTTTTGGTGGTAAATCCGTCGGACTCCGTACTCATACCGTTGTGTGTCCGTACTGGAACCGTAGCGGACTAGGAACTTTCACATTTCCGTAGTAATCCGTGAACGATTAGACCGTAGCTCCTCCGTGGCATTATCCGTGAATATGTGACCGGGGCATAAGTCAGACCATTGTCGTAATAATCTTTTACAAGATAAAGTTCGTCCTGAAAATACCAAAATTATTATCATTTTTTGTTACAGGTGCAAATCTTAAGAAAATCTTATGCTAAGCTTATGCACTGAATATATTGAAGATGACATTCATAGTAAAAATGAGAAGGGTAGTTTCTGTAATTTATGGGAACAATTAAGAAAAAGGAGAAAAAAATGTTTATTTCGGTAACTTGTACGTCCACAGTATCTCATTACATACAATAATTACAAAATAAGTCATAGATTGTCAGCAGTTTTTTTATTTGTTATAAATCTGCGATTGAAATTGTATACTTGAAGTTAACAACTTTAATGATACCATTTTATTTGTTTGAATTGTAATTTTATTTTGCTCTCTTTACCGGCATGTTTTACCTTGGCTACATTTCGAAGAACAAAATATAGCTTTTGTCATGATATTCTATTGCTTCTAAATTATAATAAAGATACGCTTGGGCGTGTATAAATGCATAAGAAACAATCCTTGTATGAATGGTATGTGATTACTTAAACTCTTTATGTAACGCCTTAATAGTCTAAAGGTAGTCCTCGTCTCCTTCGAACAAGTTTTCCAAAGGTTCAAAATGACCGACTGATACTGCTGACTGTTGGTTCCTTAAACGGTTTCTGTATCTCATACTATCATTCGAAGTTGCCAACGGCGCCAAGCAGATTGTATACATACATATAGAGTTTATGAATGCCTACATAAAGATGAATAGGTCTTAAATGCACTTACAATAACGTGTCTTTGCCACAAGTATGAAGTCTTGATCCAGAGTCCACCGCTCGTTTAATTATTTTTTTTTTTTGTATTGACTCTCCTGTGTCTCCTAATGGACTTTACCAACCTTAAGGCATACAATTTAAGAGTGATGATTTTGTTGCTTTTTGTGACCGTTCATTGATCTAGTTGCAAAAACTGGCGGAATTGGTGGAATTGTGAGAGAACAGTTCTCGGAAATCTTGTAAGTGTAACATTGTTCAAAATTTGAAGTAAATTGATTTGGCCACGTTTTGCCTTTGATGACCGTAATACAAGTATTATTCATTTAAAGTTTACCTCAAAATATCGCGAGCTTTTCACTTCAAGCAAGTTTGGCTGGCTTAGCGATAGCTAAAGGTCTTGTCGCAAGTTTTCTTTCTCGTAATTAGGCAACTAAGATTGTGTTGTAATGTTATTTTCCTTTTAACCGTTCTTTACTTTTGAACTTTGACGAACGTGTCTGAAAAAATTGTTTCATAACTTTTAATGATGTTTTAAATTATAATTATAATATAAACTGTTATAACAGTACTCTGAGACAATATCTAATGTTATTATAATTATGCATATATAAATAATTCGCATATTAAAGGCATGATGACATTGATGCGACAGTTAATAGTAATGCATAATGGACATACAGTAATATATCAATTACCACTAGGCATGAAAAGCCGTACGTATGTCCAATAATTCTGTATTACTTATTGTGTACTTCACGGATACAATCATACAACTTATTAATAAGTTAATAACAACCAATTTATTACACGGTAACTATAAATAACAAGTACGAATTTCAAAGTATAGGGAGTGAACTACTCTGCAGTTTGTTTCTTGTATGAATATAAATTGTATTATCTTAATATATCCGACAATATGACACGCTTCAAAAAAGAAAAAAGAAATGAAATCTATGCGTGAGTTGAAGACACGGTTCCAAGAGCTAAATATTAGCATTGTTTCTAAAGGGCGCATCACCATATTTATACAGGAAATGGTTAAAATGAGATTTCTTGCTATTAAACAGATGTGACACTTACGAAATTGGAAAGGCCTCTTTTTGATATCTATGTAGGGAATGTATACACC